GCTCAGACTAAGCTGCATCGTGAGTTTACGTGGAAATAAATGAATAAATGACGTGGATATCGCAACACCCGCAGACAATCTTCATCAACAGAATGGACGAACCAAGGGAAGAAAAAAAAAAGAAAAAAAAAAGGAGGTGACTCGCCAATAGATCGTTAATGAGATTCTTCTGAGGTCATACTCACACTAGGATTTTTTTTAACTTATCTGTAAATGCATTCACGGCTGCATACATCCAGGTCCAGCCATAAATTTAATGGAGTGAGATACATTTAAGATCATCTCTATTGTGAATTTGTGAGTACACCCTGAGGCTTCGATGTAGGAGCAGTTCCTTGCTTACCCTTTTTTTTTTTTTTTTTTTTTTTTTTTTTTTTTGGGAACAAGGCTCCTGTATGTGTGTGTGTCCTGACGGACGACGGATCCCATATTCAACTCATTAGAACACAAACTACACTTGATCTTAGCCAAAAGGTCGAGAAAGGTATATTACCCCTATTTTTAGTTCCCAGGCTTACCTTGCATTTTTTTTCTCTTCTGACTCTTCTGAGACGTACATGTAGGTTCTGTTTCCTTTCTAAACCCCTAGCCTTTGTCGTCAGCCTTACGATGGAGATATCCTTGGGTGCATCCTGTTCTAATCATATACCCTCTAGAACCTCGGCAGATTGGGCAGCCTCTCTTCCTGCCCCTGCCCTCAGCGCCCTGCACTCCCGAGTACCTAGCTCTTGTTGCTTCTGTGGCCCATCAGTTTGGCAAATCGGACATGTTCTGTGACTTCTGTCTGGTCGCGTTGATCTGGTTTGAACATACAAACAGGCCGCTCAATATTGGATAAAATGAAAAAAAAAAAGAGAGAGAGAGAGAGAGAGAGAGAGAGAGAGAGAGAGAGAGAGAGAGAGAGAGAGAGAGACGAAAAGCCAAAGGTAAAAAATAGAAGACCAACACGAACTAACAATAAAAGTCACGGGTCTTGGCTCCGTGCCCATTTCAGAGCGAGGGTTGTCCGGTTCCTTGACAGACTACCGTCTGCCCCCGAATAAAACGCCCGGTCATTATAGCTGTACTCAGCCTGCGTTTTTTTCCCTCCTGCCCTCACTTGGGGCAAATACGCTTCAGTCACGATCGAGGTCCCCCCCTCCCCCTCCCAACCCCCCCATAACTCTCGTTCATGTTTTTCAAAAATGGCAATGGCCTTGAGATATTACCTTCTTTTTTTATTGTGTGTTAGAAAAGGCGATGGCCTTGAGGTATTATCATCGGTACCTGACCAGCCCAGGTAAATTCAATCTTGTGTCTAAGCGGACACCGTGTGGGTGGCCTTTTCAGCCCAGGGTGGCCTTTATTTATTGCCTTCCGGGAACCCCCTTATCTCACGGGCTCATGGGTGTACCAACTGAGCCAGGCTACAGTCTTCCCCCGAATACAACGTACGGTCATTATTGCTGAGTTTGGGGTATCTTTCAGTCTAAATTCAGCTATAATGACCGGACCTTTTATTCGGGGGAAGACAAGTTGGTTTACGATCGAGTAAATAAGCAGAAAAATGTGAAATAGAAGTTTGTCACCCCCTTTGAGGAAAATGACGGTGAAACTCGGTCCAGCAGTTCAGACAGGCAGGTAGAATGTTCGACGTTTGGGCTTTGGCTGTTACAGGAACGACGCCAACTATCGGCCCGGACTTCATGGGCTTTGTAATACTTGATTGTTTTGGAAAAGGCTTCTCGAGGTGTTCGGGAGTAAAACTGACGTGTTTTCTCTTCTTTTCTTGTTTACATGAATCCGTTGGTTTCCTTCTTGCTGATCCGTTTGGTGCGGATGTCTTCTTCTTGCTCAAATGTCTTCATCTTTGTACGATTGACAGTCTTGCAAGGTCGTATCGCTGTGCTGGATATCGACAATCAATCAATGTATATCGACAATCAATCAATGTGTAAGTGTTTGCATGAACTACAGGTAGTTTCGTTCAGGCAGGTCACTCACGGAGGGTACCCGCTCCTTCCCAGGTACCCACAGTACGCTTGGGACACCCCATGAGCCTGCCCACCTTTGTGGGTCACATTCGGCCCATCGCACCGGAGTTTGGGGAAGAAGGGAGGTGTTCAGTAGCTGCGCCCCGCAAATACAACATAGTGCCATCCTCATCACCACTGCATTCGTAATTGGGGCAATGTATACACAATATATATATTACTGTCCGGTACAGCCGTTACGAGGGTGCGTCGTGGTTGGGGAAAAAGGGAGGTGTTCACTACCGCTCTCTCTCTCTCTCTCTTTCTCTCTCTCTCTCTCTCTCTCTTTCTCTCTCTCTCTCTCTCTCTCTCTCTCTCTCTCCCTCCCCCCCCCCCCCCCCCCCCCCCCCGGGCCGCTAAAGATAGCTTGTATACATACGTTGTCGATTGTCAACTGAGCAAACCCTGATCAGGGTGCCTTGTGTTGAAGGGAACAAGGGAGGCAGTCCAGGCCTCAGAGAGAGAGAGAGAGAGAGAGAGAGAGAGAGAGAGAGAGAGAGAGAGAGAGAGGGAGGCTCTCTGGGCGAGCGACAACAGATCTCCGTTCTTCCCGCGAGCACGATGCACGCTGATCACGGGTGACGGGACTGCAAAAGTATCATCGAATGGACTTCTATACATCACACCTGCAACGTATGTAGACAAGCTATCTTCATCTTTGTGAAACAGTTTTCACCTTTGGCAGTAGCCGATGCAGATCCCAGGGGTCGATCCCTTGACCTCAGCTTACCTGTGTACAGTATCTGCACAGTTCCCTGGAGTTGAACCCGTGACCTGAACGATAGCCAGTGGTAAGTAGGTCGCCGTAGGTTGTAGGCTGTAGGGAGATTCGAACTGTAGACCTATAAGGTAGGAGTCCAAGTAGAGTCCAGAGCCCTATTTTAGTCCTTCTAGAGGGTCGGCAAGTGGTCAAGTGGTGAGTCTAAGGTAGGCCCACGTTTTCAGTCGAAGACAAGTGGCAAGGTCAACAGGTAGGACCTCAGTGCAACTGCACTGAGTCGACCGTACGACTGCCTACAGTCAGCAGAAGGGTCTAGAGAGTCCCAGTCCAGTCCAGCAAGTACCACAGGGGGACTGTGAGCACCAAGGGCCGATGGCAAAGGGCAGACCAACGAATTTCTGAAGTATAAATCAAGAGGCAGCGCCCAGCCATTCATTCATTCCTGCGTG